TCTGCTTAATCATTGGTTTAATAGCACCTTGCCTGTCATCATGATATGCACATGAGCCTTGTGCTTTTAATCTGAACTCTATATAAATGTGTAATAAGAGCACATGGTTAGTTTAATAAAATCCTACTGGATTTGGTCAGTGTGGGTTCTTCATGAAGTTTTTCTGAATCTTCGATCAGACAGTGGTTCCATGGTCCTGGCAGGCCATTGCTGGGTTTGTGTTCTTTTCCAGGTAGTGACGCTGACATTCACATACCAGCTAAGGAATGGGACCATAGTGAAGCTGGGCAGTGGAGAACACTTCCTGTTCTGTGGGTCATCTTCCGTCTCTGCAGCAGCTGCCCGGTGTCACCATTTTCCCCTCTATTTTAAAACCACTATAAAAGTGTTCATAGGTATGGTCTTCAGCCTCTGGGTGGCCTTGGAGGTAAGCAGGGCAGAAAGAGACCAGCTTGGGGTCACCTCCTCCTGTTACAGAGCATAGGGTTGGCTCTTTGATTTCCTGACAAGTTAAAAACACTGCAGGATCATTTCCCTCGTGAAGAACAGCAAACTGACCTCATCCTAGATCACACTGTCACGGGGTCCTCTCTTGACTTGTTCCCTCACTTGAGGAACAAGAGAAACCCTAAAGACTGCATGCTGTGTTTTCAAGATTAAATGAGTTGATTTTTGTGTGAAGGCGCCCTCGTAATATCTGGAACAGAGTGTGCACTTCAGAATGGTGTTGCTGTCAGGAGTGATCTTCCAAACACGTTCTTGGGGCCTGCCCTTTCACTTCTCTTTGCTTTATCTCATTTCTTCCTTAACCTCCACGTGCCACCTCGCCCCCAAGACTGGAACCTTCCTGTCTGCTCTGCCTGAGCAAGACCGAGCCGGTCTCACCTCGGACCCTGCCCAGTTTCTGTAGCCCAGTACAGTTCAACCCAAGCATGTTCAATAGCCAAGTCTCCCTGCATTTCTTACTCCCTTTCTTCAGTCCAGGTGGAAGAGCAGCTTGTTCTTCTCATGCTGTCTCCTGATCCCTTGCAGCTGATCACTGGTACAGAAGCAAAAGTCAACTCACGTACCCCCTGGAGTCTTACTCCTGAACAAAGGGACCATCTTCCAGGAGTAAAGAAGCTGAGCGCCACTCTGCGACATACACTATATCCCAGAAACTGAAAGTAGAATTCATATTTTACCCCTGAAGAACTCAAGGCTCAGAAAGGTTAAGGAAGTTCCTGAGGCCACAGAGCTGGCTTGATCATTCATTTATGTGTGCAATGAGATGAAATGTTCAACAAAGACCAAAAAACCCTTGCCCCCTACAACGCAAAGTCAAGTATGGGAGTCGGTAAATTTTTTCTGCAAAGAGCCAGAAAGTAAATATATTCAGTTTTGTGAGCTGTGGAGTCTGTGTCTCAACTGTTTAATTCTACGGTTGTTGTGTGAAAGCAGCCAGAGACAATACACAAACAAACGGGGTGAGTGGGTTCCAGTGAAACCTAATTTACAAAAAAGGGTGATGGGCCCCCTTTGGTTTGTAGGCCATATTTTGTAAACCTCTGGACTGGTAGCAAAGGGACTTGTTGATGTAATAATCAATTGGTTAAATGTAGAGTTAATGGAACAAAGGAGATATATATGACTCTCAGCACATAAAGTAGGACTTGGGAGTCATGGAAGGCGCTCATGAATTGTGTCCTTTTAAAGGAACCCTAAGGATGAGAAGGACAGATTAACTTGTGCAAAGATACTGTGACCAGAAGGACCATGGTTTTTTTCAAGTACTGAAATGTGCTTTGGGAGGGGCAGTGGGCAAAAGGAAGAGCAGGAGAAGCCAGCTTACTCAGGGAGTTGCTTAAGAGCGAAGTCTTAATGCCAAGAGCCGAGGTAGACCATTGTTCTGACCACATCAAGGGACTTCTGTTGGGAAGTCATCACTCTAGTTTCTAGCTAGGGGGTCCCACTGTCATCCACCACAGAAAAAGGGAAATACGACTTTGTAGCCAGGGCCCCTCCCTGGAGCCTTGAGCTGATATGCAGCTCAGCACCCTTTCCTTCATAAACACTATTCTATGTTTGCTATCCCAACAAATCTTCATTTTCCTCTACTTCCAGATGAGCATTCAAATTGCATTATGCATTTCCAGCCACAGCTCCATCCCATTCCATTCTTCTCACCTTTTTTCTTTCCTTCCCCAGCCTGATCTCCCACTAACTTCGTAAAACTTGCAAGTTAAATTTTTCAAAGACTGTTTCTGACAAAGCAGTGGGAATTAGATTTGGTGGAGCCCTTCATAAAAAATTGAAGACATGCTATATTAACATACATTGATTTATTCATAGTGTTTCATTACAAGTAAGTGAGGATCCTGTAATACCAGGAAAGGTTAGGAGAGCAGGGGAGCGAGGTATATTATATTGACAGCTCCGTGGAAATTGTGTCGCTTTTGGATTGAATTTGGAACACAGGGAAGCCACTGGCTAGTAAATAAGGCATGAGTTTTACCTCCCAGTGTTTGTATATCAATGCAGGTGCCACCAGCCCAGGCAGGAAGACTAGAACAGAATTTTGAGAGAATGTGAAGGCACACACTCTCCGCTGGTGTGTGTGGGTTATTCGCCACAGATATAGCTCTAAGCATCTCCCCTCTTCTGTCGCTAGGGAATCTGGGAGCCAGTGAAACAACTGCCTCTCCTGCTGTCCAATCTGCAGTCCTCCTGGGCGCTTCTGTTTAAACCTTTTCTCACCTCAGGCCTTTGCCCATGCAGTTCCTTCTACCTGGAATAAAACTCTTTTCCTCTGCTCAGACTCTGCAAACACTGGTTCTGTTCTCTCCTGAGATAATTCCCCAAGCACTTTGTCTTAGTCTGGCACTGCTCAGATGCAGACCCTAAGATAAGGATTTGAAGCCAAGCCACCAGCCACCTGCACAGTAGATGCCCGTGCTCCGGCTATACTTGCAAAAATTCTAAGTTCCTCAGCTCCCTGTGCTTCTCCTCCTGGGCTCACTGTGCTCCCAGCCACATCTAGCCTCTATCATCAAGCATCTGACATCAGTTGCTACACCACTGCTCCTTAATACAGGAGAAAGAAATCTTTTCTTTCTCCAAAACATTTGATGCCATTGCCAGAAATAGGAAGTTATTTATTTTTAAAGTGAATTTTGTGTATTCCCTTTCCACCTGGATTTGGTCATGCTGTAAGTGTGAGCATTCTTGACGGGAGATAAATGCTGTGAACTGTATGTTTAGTTGGGTTCCCTGCCTCTAGAATGAAAACCATTAGAAGATGGGGCTTTAATCATTTAAGCCCTCCTAGTGGCCCACAGTTCAGAGCCTGGAATCCAGGAATACTCAGGAAATGTTTGTGAAGGAGCAGAGGAGTGGATGAGTAAATGTATTCGTTAATTCCTGGACCATGTCCGTAAGACAGGACAGGCATTGTGGTATAGAATGATGACCACAGGCTGGAGTTGAGGCCCATGTGTAGTCCAGTGCCAGCAATGGATTCTCGAGTAAGTATGAGATTACATGGTTTACAGCTGCAATGACAAGGTGAGCCAGTCTCACAAACGTGTGGAAAAAGCCAGACGCAAAAGCATATATACTATAGGGTACTGTTTATGTAAAGTTCAAAACTGTGCAAAACTAGCCCATGCTCTTAGAAGTCAGATAGAGGTGTCTCTTGCTGGAATACAGAAGACCGAACTGGAAGAAGGCATGAGATGAAAGACTTGTGTCTGGGTTCTGTTTCTTGATTGTATGACTGTCTGGTTTGCAAAACCTCATTCATCTGTATAGTATACTGTGTGCCCTATAGTTTAATAAAATATTTTAAGGGAACAAAACTTTGTGTCATTTAGACATGTATATTCCAAGTGTGATCAGTGGAGGCCAGCACCACACTATCAACTGTTCATTCGTTTTGTGGTGCTATAAATGTAGAAATTGAGTGAGCACTTCAAAACTTCTATACCTTGACATTTTTCTGACCCCCTCCTGTGTGATCAGTGAATACGAGACATAAAATATTGCACAGTGTAGACCAGTTTCTTTTCTGCAGTGTAGACCACTTTGGTTATTGCCAGACTCATAGGATAAGTCATATGGGGAAGATCTTATTATTGATCTGCAGTGGTTTGGAAAATAAAACAAAAAAAGGTCTTCACTGTAAATAGGTTGAAAAGTGCTGATTTAATATAAGCTATTTCCAGTTGAGCTTCAGTTTGCTCATCATTAAAATGAGAATAACTATCCCGATTCCCCCCAAGGCAAGGGAGAATACCAACAAAATAAGGCATTAGAAAACAACAGAATGAAATGCTATCCGTGTAGAGGCTAGGACCCATGATCTGTATTTTTAGCAAGACTTCTAAACAATTCTTTTCATGCTGCTACACTTCAGTGTTGTTCTACAGCTATACTGTCCAAGTAACTGTCCACTAGTCACACAAGCCTACTGCACTTTTGAAATGTGACTAGTCTGAACTGAAATATACTGTAAGAGTAAATGCATACCAGATCTCAAAGATGTAATATGAATTACAGAATTTCAGCTATCTCATTAAGGATCACAGGTTGAAATGATAATCTTTTGGGGGGAAGAGTACCGGGCACCAAACTCAGGACCTTGCACTTGTGAGGCAGGCAACAGAACCACTGAACTAAATCCCCTGCCATGAAATGATAATCTTATGAATATATTGGACTGAACAAGATGTTATTAAAACTAATTTCACTTCCCTACTTTCTTATTATGACTATTAGCAAGTTTAAAATGACTTATGTGGCTTCCATCCTATTTCTGTGGGACAGGGATGACCTAGAATGACAGCAGTGGACCTGCAGAGGCTGGGCTGATCTATAAGGTGAACAACAGCAGGTGGCAATGCAGAACTCACTGACCGACCTAGCTTACCTGTCCTCTCCCGTCCTCCCGTGACGTCCTCTCAGATGAGCTCCATTCAGCCCCCTGAAGGGGGCACTTATGTGTTTGTTGCTTTGTCCTGCAGATCAACTACAAGGCTGTTGGCTCCCTGGACCCAAGTGCTGACCTGTCCAGCCAGAGGGGGAAGGTGTTCAAGCTCCGGAATGAAACTCACCACCTTTTTGTGGGTCTGTATCCAGGGACCACCTATTCCTTCACCATCAAGGCCAGCACAGCCAAGGGCTTTGGGTCCCCAGTTACCACTCGGATTGCTACCAAAATTTCAGGTATCCCTTTTTTTCAGGTTTTATTCTTTATTTGTACATATTTGCATTACATAATGAATACATTCCTTGTTGGGAGTTGATACATGTACATAACACTAAAAGGGAAAAGGAGGAAAGGCTATCTTTTCCTACCACGCCTGGTTTTCCTGAGAGAGAAAAGAAGCAGAGCCAATTGTCTCTGCGGGGTATTGGAACAATTAGGATGATGCAGTCCCTTGTGGTTACTTTTGTAATCTCATGAAGAAACCAATCAATAGACTTCCTAAAGTGTAAAACTTATATTAATTAGGTGGCAATTCACCAAATAACTTGCCACAGGGCTGCATTACATACATATAGAGAGAGAGAGAGCATAAAATTGGTTTGTAATTGGATTTTCAGAAATATTCTTCTTGCCAATGTACGATACAGCACAGATTCTCATGAAGTTTTCTGATGAATGAATGAATGGCTGTGACCAAACCACAGTGACCCAAGATTGGCAACTACCAGTCCTACCGGGGCTCCCTTCTTACCAACTAGACAGCATCAGCGCAGAATTAACGTAGAATGCTTTATTACAACTTTCATTTTTAGAATATCTATGAAATTCTGGTCTACATCCATACATATTTTGCATGGGGTTTTGTAAAAGCCACGATTTTTTGTTTTGTAGTTAGGGTTTTCTCTTACCCTTATCCGTAAGCATTTCCCATGTTGCTACACCACTTCATCATACGGTTCTGTCAAGTGGATGGACGTAATTTAATTAAATATTCCCCTGTGGTTGGATACATTTGGTGCTTCCATGTTTTTATAAAATAACACTTCAATAAACATCTTACAAAATACAAGTTTAATTCGTTGGTTTGCATTGTAACTTTTGGATTAAATTCAGAAATTGAAAAACTGAATTAAAAGGGATGTGGGTTTTAATGGCTCTTAATACAGATGGTAATTTACCTTTTCAAAGATTAGATTTAGTCACACTCCTATTGGGGGGAGAGGGTCTCATGGAAAAAAAGGTAGGGGGAACTAATTCATTATTGCTTTAATTTGCATTCAAATGTGTTTAACAAGGTTGACTCTGCTTTCACATCTTTATTACATTCTTATATTTCTTACATGTATCTTTATTCCCTGTGGAACTTTTGATTGCATGTGGATTCTTGGCCATACCATGGTCACCCTTCTCCAGACTACTGTACCTTACAGGTTGGAAGTCTGGGCCTCCTTTTCTGAAAGCCTCTGATAACTTGTCATTAGCACCTATTCCCTTCTAGTCATCTGTAATATCTTTAAGTATGGAGGTGGCAAGCAAGGTTGGGGACTGGTGCTGAGCTCACCTCCAATCTCTGTTCCCTGCCCAGCTCCTTCGATGCCTGAATATGATACAGACACCCCACTGAATGAAACGGACACAACCATCACAGTAATGCTGAAACCAGCCCAGTCCAGGGGAGCTCCTGTCAGGTGAGGAGTTTGCAGCTTTCTTTGTCTGTACCATACATACCTCCAGGGGAATCATGTGATTGGCAATGTGCATGAGTACAATGGGACCAGGAGTAAAAATACCTGGAAGGAACAGGGTCAGCAGTCCCAAGCCCAATTCAGAAGGAGTATCAAAGCCAGGGTCCTCTCACCCTCCAACAGAGTATTCACAAGAATCATGCTGATAGGAACCTGAGATGGTCAAGGAAGAGAGTTTTCTGGAACACAACCCTGGTAAATTTAGTTAATGGAGTTGGAAAACTGGACACAATCCCTTGGGAAAATTACCTTACTGCCAGTAACAGACAGACAGATTTACTAAATTCTCAAAAGAACTTATTGAGAGATTATGAATGGGAAGAGTTATGGGTGGGAAGGGGATCTTGTCTAGCCTAGGGCTATGGAGTGTGAGAATCCCACAGGGGCCTTGCTGGTAAGGTCACCTGCTGATTTTAACAAGAGGCTATGGGAGGTCAGAAGCCTATGGTTGTTAGAGGCAGCAAAAGCAACACAGTAGCTCAGTGTATGTCCGTGATTATTAGGTCAGAAGGCATCTCTTTTAATCGAGCACACTTTGCACAACAGCAACAATGTGAACTGCTGATTTTGCCCAGAACTCCAGAAAGCAAGACCCCAGGTCATAGAAATGAGGCAAAATATGGACTGGAATAGCTTTCCATGCCCTATTCTTAACTCATAATCTATTCAATGCACACTTGTTGAGTTAAGGTATAGTACAGAGTTAAAAAATGGTTCATTCAACACAAATATTTTTAAGTATCCACTCTGTTTTAGCCACTGTTTAAGTACTTGGGAGAGAGTAGTGAACTAGCCATAAATAAAGTTATATTCTAAAGGAAGCAGAGCACTACATGGGGAGAGAGAAGTGAGAAAACATAGTTGCAATACAGTGCCTCCTTATGAAGATATGCACAGTTGTTATGGGAGGAGTTGTTAGAGGAGAGAATTCTCAGGAGAGGAGACACTGAGCTGCATCTTCAGTGTTGTGCAAGGTTTCATCCAAGTTGCAGGTGCCCAAAGTAGGCAGAGGCATGAAGGAGAGAGTCCATGCCTGGTTAAGTTCACCTCAACACAGAGGTCAAGCGGAAGTGGTGGGATAAGAGCAGGAATGTGTTTGAGGAGCTCCAGCTCACTTGAGGACCACAGAGAGCCCTGGAGAGTTGCTTCCAGTGGCATCATTCTTTGTGTCCCCAGAATCTGGTACATCAGCCTAAAAAGAAGCTCCTGAGATGACCCTAAACTCCTTTTTCCACTCTGCATCCAGCTCTACCTGGAAAGTATGGGCAGTGGAGCAGATAGAATCAATCATCAAAATTGTGGAAGTTCTGGAAGTCTGAAGACTTTGGATAATGTTCCATCCAAGTCTTCAGGTCCTGAAACAGGTGTGGATAATGTTTGTGGGGCAGCTTATCATGGAGACTTGCTCTTATATTTTGCACAGTGGTTGTTCTAGGATTGTCCTACCTGTGATAAGCAAAATTAAATGGTAGCTCTAGAGTCAAATCAGGCTATGAATCCCCTGCTTTTCTTCTGGTTATTCTGACATAACATTGTCATTTCATTTTCTCTGCGCCCTGTGAGCTATTATCCTCATTTTCAGAAGAAGAAGCTAAGGTGCAGAGATGTCCAAGGCACACAGACAGTAAGTGGGAATTAGGAAAGCTGAGTTTGAATGCAGCACCTCTGGGTGTCCTGTCGTCATTCCATTTTAGCCAACAAGGCCTTACTCCCTTTAACAATTTTCTCTTCTTTTATATAGCAACATCAGTTACTATTACAAAATCTGACCTTCCCAGAGGACAAATATGTGGCCAGAGGAGGGAAGCAGCTTACCCAGATTGCACAGCAAGTTAGCATCTGACCCAGAGCAAGCCCAGATCTGACTCCAAGTCAGATGTTTCTATTGTAGATTCAGTTACCCAAGACTATGAATCTATCAGCAAGGGACCTGGTCTGACTGACATCCTCCTGTGTGATCTCTTAGTGAACGCAGATTTAGTCCAGTTTCCTGCAGTCTTCGGACTGTGTGGGGCTATGGAAAGAAAGTGAGTTTGATGGCAAGGAACCTAGATTAAATCCTGTTTTAACTCTGCAGCTTTGACATTGGACAAGATGCTTAATCTTAGTCTCTCTCTTTCTCTCTCTCTCTCTCTACCCCCTCTCCCCTTTCTTCCTCACCCTCTCCCTTTCCTTCTCCCTTCCTCTCTCCTTCTTTCTCTGTTCTCCTTATCTCTAAAGCACAGGCAATATTTCACGCCCTGAATGAATAGGGAAGTGCCCAGGGCCAGGTAGGCCAGGCACCCAGGCCTTCCTGATTCCAGAGATCAGGAACCAAGTCTACACTCCTCCTCCCCAGTAAAGGGGCCCCTAGCCACCCCAAACAAAAATACACGGGACATTTTTCTAGTTCCCACTAAGAGAAACCACATGCTCTTACTTTGGATGTCTGTTTAATGAGCACATGCATCCTTAGACCACAGTAACTTAGACTACAGTAAATTAGAGGGAGAAGGGGGTAGAAGTGCCCCAGCAGCAGTGAGGAATTGAGACTTGCAGGGAGCAAAGGACTAGGGCAGATCTACAGAGTAGATATGAATATTAAAAAACCAAGGAGGTCTACATGCTGCAGTCCCTCACAGCCTTGCGTGTTTATTCCTTGATCCTGGTTTACAAAACAAAAACCGTGTCTTTAAGTTAAAACAACTAACTAGCTTCCATTTAATGAGCAAACACTTGCAGTGTGTCTTTCGCTGTATGTAACACTGTCTACATCTCCACAGCATTTTGGTAAAGGCCTCTTCATTTGCAGATGTGGAAATTGAGATAAACTGAGGCCTGCATTGATCCAGGCCATGACATAAGTAACAGTTACAGGCAAAATTTAAGCCCAGTTCTGACTCTAGCCCTATACTCATTACTATACCATGCCACCTCCCTGGTAGAAAAGTATGCATGACATATTTTGGTGATATTTTCATTCAAAAAATTAAAATAAAAGAAATGTCATTGCTCAAAGGGGAAATAGCTGGTGTCTGGAAATGTCTGGCTGCTTTTCATCCCAAGGCTCTGGATCATTGAGGGAGGGTGTGCACTCTATTTCTGGAATTATTTTTCAGACATTGCTTGGGCATCTTCCAAGAAGGAGACAAGACTAACCAATATCACTCAGCAAAACTTGCAGGGCAACTGCAATGACGTAGTGGAAATACCATGATAAATTTTAGTTATCTTTACCATTTTTCACCTTAAACTTTGGGTACTAAAATGTGCATATGAGAGGCAGGTGAGAGTGAAGTTGTTCAGTGAATATTTATTGAGCACTCACTATAGACCAGGAAGTGAGCTAAGCACTGGGGATAAGCAGGAAACAAGGTGGACACACCACTGCCTTCTTGAGACTTACTATCTTCTAATGTGCCTGTGAATGAGCAGGGAGGTAGGGCATTAAGCAAATAAGCAAACAAAATAATGAAACCAGCAAAACAAATGAGATGATACAAGGCAGCAGGGATAGAGACCGTGTTGGTTGAGGGGAGCAATAGACCAGATGGAGAGATGAGAACCACCAGGAAAGCATAGTGTGGAGTCCTGCAAGTTGGAAGGTGGGAGCCAGTGAGACCAGCGAAATGCCACTCATGACACAGCACTCTTGCTAGAGGGTCAAGGATGCCTTGAGTCTTATTTAGCATAGGTAGGAGGAAGGAGTTGTAACATTGTGGTACTAATTTATTACATATTTCAAAATAAGCAGAAGAATTTGAGGGTTACCACAAAGAAATGATAATATTTGAGGAAATGGAAATACTAATTATCCTGATTTGATAGACGTTTTATATACATGTACCAAATTGTCATATCAAACTCCATCAATAAGTACAAGCACTGTAGTCAGTTTTTTAAAATAACAATGCTTTTTTAAAAAGACTTTGCAGTTGATAGTTTTCTTCTGTGTATCATGCAAACTTCTCTGCCTGGTGAGTACGCTGGGAGATACCATTTCCATTTCAGAGAAAGAAACTGCAGTATAAGATGTTAAATGATTGGTCCAAGGTCACAGAGCTCATAATAAGTAAAGCCAGTGGTCAGACATAGACCAAATTTCCTGATTCTGAGTTCATTGCTCCCTGAGAAGTTCTGAATCCCCCCAGGTCAAATGTTGCCTGGGTGACCCTTTCATGGGGCTGCTGCAGGGTGAGCTTCTGCTAGCTAGCGCATGAGACGTGGGCAAGATGACTTAGCAGTCCTCCAGCTCTGGTTTGGGTGGGCCCAACCTGTAACTTGTGAATTCCAGTGGTGTCTCTCTGCATGAAGCTGCTTGTTCTGATTCCCACCCCTTCTTCCTTGTGTCCACGATGCTCAGATCCTCACAGACCTAACTCCAGGCCCTGCTCAGCTGTTTGCTGCTCCTTGGAAGTCTCAGGGTCTGACTCTGGTAGAGTCACACATGCAGGGCGCTGAGGAGAGCAGCAGGGAGGATCCTGCACTCTCACCCCTCCAGCCAAACCTCCTCAGCAGCTTGGCCTATTTTTCTAATACTCCACAATGGAGATTTATTGCTTTTGCATTGCTTTCCCCAGGCCTTCAAAGATTTATTGGTTTTTAAGTGACAGAATCCCAGAATTGCTTAAAAGATCAATCAAACAGTGACTAGAATCTAATATTCAGCTCTGACTTGAGCACACTAAACCTTCTTCCCTCACGCCCCACCTGTCACGCTGATGTATCTGTGGTAACCTTCATAAGAAAGTAACTTGGCCATGAATGAATCACCCATAATGCAGTCTCTGGAGTGAGGTGGGGCAGAGCCCCAGATTTTAGCAGGCCCTCCTCCTGCTCCATCAGGCTTCCTTAGAGGTGTCCTTTGCTCTGCTCATCTCCCTTCCCACCCATCCAGTCAGTTACCCAGGCCGCCCACTCAGTTTTGGAATCAACCCTGAGCTGAGCTCCTTCTCCTCACGGTC